ATCCCCTAGTTCCTCATTTCTTTTTAAAATGAAGTGCTCTTTTTTTCTTTCAAATTCAGATTGAAATCATATACCCCATTGTATAGCTCGAGCACTAATCCGAAATGACAAAAATATCAGACTGAGATCAACCTGTGCAAGCATTATTGTAATTAGATGGCGATCAACACGGCCCTTCATTATTCGCTGAAACTGTATAGAACGTATACGACGCTGTAGATTTTTTATATGGATGAACGTCCAAATACTAGATATCAGCATGCTTAGACATGGAATGACTAGAAAAAATGCAAGGAAATAGACGTTGACAACAATCGAATAGAATTTGTTGTTAAGTACACATGCAGGAACATTGTTGTTTGCACCTATGATTTGCAAGTCATAATAGGCGATAATTTGAATACCAGAGAGTAGCCAAATAAATGTAAGAATGGGAACTGTTCGTCGAGTCACTTTTATATGACTTCAAGAGCGAATTCTTATCGATCTTGAGCTCAATAGACAACAATCGAGTGAAGCCAGCACTACAAAACAAGTTGCGAAGCCTGGCATCAGAGTTGCAAGGTAGATGCGTCGTTTACAAAATATAGAAGATTGATGGGGAAGTACACTGCTTTAGTGATCTATCATGAGCCGCATGACGGCGCCAAATAAGAGTGTAATGATATTAAACACACCCGAAAACAATACATAGAAGGCGCATGTATTGCTGCATAGTTTTCTTGAAATAAATGTGAGAAGATTACAGAGCGCACCAATTATACCAATCATAATTGCAAAATATGGTAAGTAGAATGTTATATTACTAATTACACTATGAAGGGTCTTAATATAATCGTCACTCAGGATAATCAAAACTCGACTGAATATATTAGCTATAATTTGTTAAAATATTTTTAGAATTAGAAAGTTTATTTTTTAATGAAAGCTACATTGATTGAGCATTAGTCTGTTCCGAATTTTTTAACTTTACAACCTGGTCTTTTTCACATATTTCAAGAACTGTACCGTGTCTATTGAACTCATGAGTAGGGAATGAATGATGGCGAAATGTAGCCTTTCGAGTTCGGGTAGTAAGTTATAAGATTTGATTTCTATTCTGAAAATCAGTTCGACCACATTTTTTTAAATAATACATTCTTAAAGAATTTGTGAAGTTGTAAGATGTTATTTTACTCTTTGCTTATATTGAAAATATTCCTAAATCATTCTAGACGAGCTTATTTGTGACATTCGGCGGTTTTTGCACCTTCATGAAAGATTATAAACTTATTGCGAGAAAAAAGGTTCAGTCAAATTTCATTGGATTGGCAAAACTCCTATGCGTACATCATAAATGTGCAAGTAGACTAAGTGGATTTCAGGTAAGGAATAAGAGATTTCTAAAGCTAGCGAATACTACATGAACAACGTTCAATGTATAGTTTAACTATATGAAAGCTGTCTCGATTCCTGTTTAGAATGAATTTTTAATACAAACATATTCCTTTTGATTCATTTACGTTATAGAAATATGTTTTCTGAACTGAAATGAACGATAAAAGTAATGTCATGAATGCTATTCTAATCGTATGCAAGTCAAATACTTTCCAGTCGGCTGAAATATTTTCGGTGTGACATTGTGAAAAAACGATTTTTCTACCTAATGAAGAGTGACACAGTCTGCCGGAGTAACATCTGTCAGATGAGTATTAGCACTAAAATAAAACTCATGCTTTCAGCGTGAGTACTGAAAATAAACTCAAATATTTAAAGAGTATTTACTTTAAAACTCACTAATGCTGAGCTAAAAGCATTAACGAAGTGATATTAACTCAAGGAGTTTTATCTATACTGAATTCACCGATTGAAAACTAGACTTAGAAAGGCAAATTTTACTTTTGAATGGATGGTGCCGTACATATCACTCTACAAAAATCAAAGAACTATATGTATAGATTTAATTGCTGCATTTGACATATCGTATTCTGAAAAGAATGCATAATACTATGATAAACTATATTCAGATTTAGCGCACGTTGAATAACATAGTTCTAAAAAGTTTATTTTTACTGATCATAGACCCTCTTTAGTTAAATGATAAGACTGTCTTATTTGACATGAACCTCAGGCAATTCTGATACATTTTAGTATCTATGGAGAGCATTATTCTTAAGAAACGTTTGGTCTATACTGTTATTTGCGTATTTTACTCACGGGCGCGAATCTTCTTTTCTGCAAAAAAAACCAACCTACCTTAAGTTTCTTCCGTTTGAACAACATCCATTTAGATTAGAATAAAATATCTCTATGATTTTTTTCTCTATTTCAACACGATAATTTTAAGTTGATCTATAATACAAACGCAAATGAAATCCACCTCTTGAATTATGATCCCCTAGTACAATTTTATTGTCACACCTTCTAATTATACTTTCAAGCTGAGGTTCCTATCTTTCATCCTACTTTAATCTGCAAGCAGTTATTTGTGTATTAATTATATTGAAAATTAGAAACTATTTAGATTATTCTCTCATATTACAGTTTATTCCTTCCAATTTTTCTTAATAAAATCAAAGAATCTTTTTTTATATTCAAGTTTGGGCTTATTCTGTTAAGTCAAATCTTCCATTAAATCATCGCCTGGTTGAATTTTAAATGCAAAAATCCGATTAAATGATTAGATGAAATTGTTGTTTTTTTTAGAAAGAATACAAACTGAGATCTAATTTCCTATGGCAGTTACTCAAATAAAAACGTCAGTACTTATAATATATTAGTTAACTTATTGTGTGGCTCTTTGTCTCAATTCATTGATGTTTAATGACTTCAGGATGCCTATGATTGAAGTAATATAAAAGTGACTTGACGATCAGTTGCCATCATGCCATTCCTTTGGCTACTCTCCAATAATTACATATACACAAGTAGTCATATTTTCACATGCGTACTTCATACAGGTGTTTACATAATATTTGCTACTATTTATATCCTTGTATAATCATGATGACTATTAGCATCTTGGCTTTAGTCCATTTCAACATATTTCAACGTCAAATGACCCCTGTACAATTTCAAAACAATTAGTGAATGTTCTTTGCTAACTACATCGATTTTCGATAGTTAGCTTTCAATAAATAATAGTAACTCATAAATTCTTAAAATATCAATCATGTTTTCTTCCAAAGATTTTCTAGGTTTACTAAATAGTAGATAACTGTAATAAATACGCAGTGAGTATCTTTTGAAGTAGAAAATTTGATTCTAGGATCCTTTGTTTTTATGATTTTGATTGATTTTACGACTGAGATACGTTTGAGAATTTTCCATGACACTATTACATTGTGTCTGAAATGGAAGTGTTATCGGTTTCATATGGCATCATTTGCCAGTAGACCGCTTCTATCTCCACTGTGCGTTTAGAAACGTTGTTAAAGAGATTACTGAGCTTTTATCAATGGGTTTTCTCCAACTAGTCACCTGTTCAGATGATTCTGAATACATGAATTAGTTTGATAGTCAAGTTTGTTTCTAAAGCAATCAAGGTCGAGATTTACGGAGTACATATATAGTCGTAAACGACCGTGCCGACACGACCGGGAAAATTATAATTTCTGGTTCTAAAACGATGAAACAGTTGTTATTAATTAATTGAACTTTGTTGTGAGAAGTTAGATAGGCGTCATACAAATAAATTCATCAGTTATCAACTGAACTGATTTCTGCTTGGTTTTAGTGAAAGTTAAATCATTTCTCAATGGCAGATGAAGATTACGAGAGAATGTTATTGAATACTTTGAAACTATAATCTGATATACTTTCTTCTGCAATAATCGGAAGAATAATTAGAAATTTTCTGAACATCACTTTCGTTCCTTTTGCCTCAGCTAAGCATTTGTGTCTGTAGCAATAATATGCCAGCTGATCGAGATAATTGTTATCTTATTGAATCGAATTCGAAAGCTGTAAATTATAAAACTCTCATGCGGTCGAGCGTCTAGACAGTGCACACTAAATAAAAATGCGTCGGCTGTATGTGCCGTGAATTTTTGTGTTGTGCTCTCTATTAAAAAAATGTGTCGTATATTTTCACCGTTTTGTTACGAACATACAGCGACATATAAGCAATATCGTTGCACGCATGGAAGATAAGTTCTCGAAATAAAATTTTCTTTGAAATCAATTCTTGATTACCTTATAATTAAGGAATTGCCATTCCGATCCATGATCCGGGGAGGACTACACTGGATAGTCTGATAGGAATCGGACCCATTCCAAATCAGCCAGATTTTAGGATCTGATCAGATTGAATTTTCAAAAAATAAAGAGATATATGTAATTAAATTTCAAAAAATATCAAAATATGCGTTTCAAAAACAAACAATGAAAGTGTGTCGGATGTGTTGTGAAAAATGCGTCGTGGTCTTGCTGGGCAGAATGTGTCGCAACGAGCACGTCGTACTCGAATGTGTCGTGCTTTGTGTCGTAGTTTACGACACATCCGGCACATTTTTACTTAGAGTGTGCATGCTTCTTGTTTCTAATGAGAAAGTTTCTTTGACCGTGAAAGAATTCTAAAGAAGACGAGCACGAAAGATAAACATGTACCCAGCATAAGAAAATGATTCTCAAATGCAAACATAAAGATTTATAAGAAGAACATGTTTTCAATTAAATGCTAGATGCTATGTTAGGATCCGAGTGCACTCAAATCTAATGATGGCAAAGTTATCAGTTGCTGTTTCAATACGAATAAAAGGAAGTTAATTTGTTTTGAATTCTATCAATAGCCTTTAATAACATGTATAGCAGGATTTATAAAGATATTCTTTTCAACTTTCTTTGAATTTAAATGCCATAGATATTTGATCATTCTAATTAAAATTCATCAAAAACTACATGAATAATCCAATTTTCAGCTGAAGATTCAATTTCGAGACAGTGAAAGCTAAGATTTACTATGAGGACTCATAATTAAAGATTTAAATAGCAAAACAAAATTTAACAAGCTCATTATTTATTTATTTTCTTGAATTTAATATTCTTTCAGCCATTCGAGTTCCATCTACACGTGCACGTATTTTATCATATGCTTTCGATCGTGTTGTTGATTCATCATCTGAAAATGGTGAAAATCCACAATCATCTGTTGTACCCAATTGTTCAATGGGTATAAATCGAGCAGCTTCTAATACTCGATCACATACTTGTTCAGCTGTTTCGACTCGTGCATCATTTGGATCAATCACACCAAGAAAAATACGATGGTACGGCTTCATGAATGTTCTAATAATAGTTAAACACTTCTTTCGATCACGTTCTGATGCTAATGATAAATAAAACGTTGACACATGCAAATCGAATATGGATGGTAATACTGTAGAATAGTCAACATCTAATGAATGATGAGAATCTCTATCACCACCTAACAAGAAAAAAAATACATATCAAATCGAGTTTCATAATAACTTCTATAAAAAAAAAAGTCTTCGCCCCTATGGCTTGACATTAAAGATAACAGGTTAGAATAGAAACTTGAAACCTTTCAATTTTCTTTTATCCTGAAGTACCACTATACTAATCTGCTGCTACATATGTGCAATGTTAGTAGGGCACTTCCAAAATAGTTCTATCCTAAGTTTGAAACAGTTAAAATGAAGTATTCTTGTTAAAGGCAGTAGCTTCATACAAATTTTAAAGTTTCATTGCAAAATATTTTTCAGAATCTTATCTTTGTTGAATTACCTGGACAAACGTGCACTCCAATTTTATACTGATATGCAGCATTATCAAGAAACCTATCTAAAACCCGATTGTTTAATTGAATGAATTGTTTTAATATTTGTCCTGATGGATCCATTTTCATTGATAAGCGTGCTTCCGTAAAATCCATTTGTACGATATCAGCACCAAGTTCTAAGCATAGCCGAATATCTTTTTCAGTTTCGTTGACCAAATCATCAAGAAATTGATCACGAGAATAACCAGATATTGTTGCTCGAGGATAAACATTCGACAGAGCAGATGGAGATATAACAGCTTGTTTTATTTGTCTGCGTGTATACTGTTGAGCTCGACAAAGATAATCAACAGCATATTTCCCATATCGAAATGGAGCTTGTGTAAGACGAGGTAATGATCGTTGATGTCTGTCAGAAAACGTTATTGTAAAACAATCAATAATATCATCAAATGAATATGAGGATGAATACAATGGAGCTATTCTAAAAGAATATTTAAAAGAATGTTCTTTTTTTATTATATCATTTTGTTTTTCTTTTTAAAAATGATAGGTCAAAACTAATCTTACTCTGTCTACTATATAATCAGCTTGGTTTTATTTAAATCTTATGCTATTATTCGAACAGGAAATCGATCTTTATTCTGGGGTATCTCCAGTTCCGAGTATGACTTATATGGTGGAGTCAACTATACACTATATCTTGGTCATGCTTTAGTAAGTGTTTCGATGTATCTCAAAGAGAGAAAACAAACTGCTTTCATATTCATTTGCTATATTTGGATTGATAATCTTCAGCATTGTCACTCAAAGTATGTTGAAGTGCACTAGCTCACATCTCAAAACCTCGTGACATAAATAGATAACGACATATTTCTCAAGTTTATATATGCGTCTTATAAAACTCAACTATAATGTTGATAAGAGATGAAAAAAACGAAACATATAATATAATACCAGATGTGTAAAGAAAATACGTACGGATAGGCAAGAAAATTTGGTTTAGCTTGCTCACCATCAGTGATTTGACCTGGTCCAGTTTTTTCTAATTCAAGTAATGTTTGCCGAACTGCTTTGTCTTGCAATCTGTCTAGTTGAGTTAGTGAAATGTGGCCTGCTTTATACGCTAGTTGACCTTCTAATAATGCCGTAGTTCTCGGTAATGAACCAATAAGTTCAGTTGGAATTGTTATCTATTAATATAACTACATGTAGATTTTATTTTTCTTCCAAATAAATAAAAACATACCCATGGTTTAGGAACATTGAACGGATTCGTACTTGGTATCAATGACATATAGTAAAATTTAGCAGGTTAACAATCGTGACGAGCAGCAATTCTATTCTGAAAAGGGCCTGTTTCTTGTAAATAATTAAGAGAAAGAAAATAATCTATATATCATAAGCTACACTGAAATGTGAAGACGATGATAATGATGACGATGCAGAGAAAAAAAACAGCTCATAGCTGATAATAGATTGTCTCTCGAAAATAACGGAAGTGAATGCATACTTCGCCTGTCAGTTAGTAAGAAATAATACAATCAGTCATAAAATCAGTGCTTTCTTTTAGTAAATGCAACAATGCAGCAAGACCTAATGCATTGTACGTCTATTGGAAAACCTTCTTTTTTTGTATTTTCTATTTGAGAACTTTGTTTCAAAAGCTCAGCGCTTTTTCTCGTAATAGGAATAATAAATTAGACGTCTGACTGCAATGATATGGTTATGGTGAAAGAAGTTTTTAATGAGTATACATGTTCACTATTCCTAGACGATTAAATAGATAGGATTTTAAACAAGGACATATACTATTTCTGTTCTTCCTGTATTAAAACAACTCTAAAGGCATATTTTATAGAAACAAACTTCTTCAAAGTAAACGTCAATGTAAAAAATTCAAGTACATTCTTCTACATTTGAGATTCGACAAAAGATTTGAGTTCCATTATATTTGTTCTAGGTCTTATGAAAATAAAACTCATTAGTTGATGATTAACTAAATCATTAATAGAATTATACGACAGACTATCAAATAAATATCTCAGCTGTAGAGCACGTACAGAAAAAGTTAGATTTTCAAACGAAATCTCACAAGTATTTATTTCACTTTCAGATAGATAGCTTAATTATTTTAATAGGAAAGTATAACAAAAAACATTGCCTACTATGTCATTGTTTCAGATATTTTGAATTCTATACTACTCATCTAAATAGAACTCTCCATAAACGGATCTAATTAACGTCTACTATCGTGATCCAACATTTATTATTTTCGATAGCATGGGAATTTATCAGTTTTTCGAAAGACATTCATGCAAAAGAATCTATGATACTTATCTTGAAATATTAAAAATAGATTTCACTTATAAATATTTTCGAGATAGCATAAAATCCGTTAAGTGCTATTTCTTTTTACAGTGTGTCACTGTGTAAAAGAATTCAATTGTAGGATTGTGAATTTTTGCAATGTTATCTTTTTCTTTTAGCTCAAGTACAAAAGAAGACTTATTAGTTATATTCTTCACCAATTGAAGTTATTTTCTGTTCTCAGCTTCTCTTTTTCTAAGTTGATGCTGAAAACAGCGTAAATCTCTAGTCGATGTTACGTTGACTTGGATCGTGTCTAAGTGAGTAATGCCTATATAATTCAAATATCCAATTCTTTCTATATAAGATTCATTCAACATCAAAAGAAATTTTATTTTTTTATTTTTCATTTTTGATAAAGATAAGATAATATTAAAATAGAAATGATCTATAAATCATGTAATATTTCAATTTTGCTTAAATCATGCGCTAATAAGATACATAATCTAAAAACAACAGGATATAGTTTTCACTAAGAAGTTCGAATTAATAGCTTGATGATGGATACCTATCATAATAAAATAATCATTGATAATAATATCCATTAATAAATTTCAGCCTATCGATCTCTGTTACAAGACATGTTCATTTTTTGGTCTATCGAAAATTAACAATCTACATAGAACACGATACATTTACCGAGCGAGCGAACAAAATCATAGTTATCAGCTTTGTTTATAGTATACTGAAATACAACTGTGTACCAAATTCAGTATCACTATAAACCTTAAAAAATCTTTATCAACTAATGTGGTTTACGAGCAAAACTTATTCGATATTTATGGTCACAAATTGTTGTGGCATTGGGCACGGATCAAAGAAAAAATACTGCCAGCTGAAAGGAGAGATCAAATCATGCTGTGACACAAGCAAAATGGGAATGAGGCTCATTGCATGACTAATTTGCTAGCTTACAGTCAATTCTATTTTGGTATGATTACTACAAAAAATGGATAATTAAAGGCATTTTATACAATGAAAAACTTTGCTTATCATTAGTCAAGGCAAATCTATTTTAATATTTTACTTCAAAATAAAAATGTCGCCATCGAAATGATCTTCTATTTGTTAATATACATTTCTCCTCTTTTCCTGCCTACTTGATACGAGTATCATTTTCTTGGATGATAATTACGTGCGCATCAAAATTATTTTTCTATTTATATCAATTGCCTTGCTAAATTTGTGGAACCACAATCAGTCCATCATAAATCAACAAATACCTACATATCTATATTCAACTCTCAGAGATGAACCATTGAAGAAATATTGCCAATAGAGTAGTCCTATTTGAATTTTTCATAAATATGCATGGTGAAACAAAATGATTAGTTTCCATGCGGGAATCATAAAAATTTATTATGTATTACATACGGAAAAGGCATCAATGATTTCATATTCTATTTTATCTCAAAGAACTGGAATCTATTAATGTGTATAAAAAGATTTTGATTTCTTCTTGTCAACGTTCATATGTCAAGAAAAAGAAATAATAAATTGTGTTTCTAATAGATACGATTAACAATTTTCTTGAATTTCTAAACGCGTTGACTCAACAATACTTATCTTTTGAATGACACATAATTTGCAATAGTACCATGAAGAGAAAGTACAATTTTACTTCATTTATTAGCTAAAGAAGAAGCTCCAGAGAAATGTCTGTTATTAAGTGTAACGAACTGTCTATGTTTTTGGCATAAATATAAGCTTTTTGGTTGGCATAAATATTTAATACTTAATTTGTTAATCGGCAATACGTAGCTAAATAATAATACTCAACTTTTCTTTTTACAAATTCTGACTGATGATTATCGAAACAGAGATACAAACATGCTATATATGAAAAATAATTTTTTTCATACCAGAAACGTGCATTCAAAATTGACGTGCCAATTATAATTTATATTATATATAGCTTAGATAATCGCTATAATTATAGTAACAGCTGAAAGCATGAAAACACTGGTGCGTCGTAGAAAGACCGAAAGGGAAAATGTCGAAAATTTTAACTAAGACGTTTTTATTCTTGAAATCATAATAGCATCATAGCATAGATCATATAAAAATAATAGTTATAAAAACAAATAATTATAAAATGTCACTTTCTCCGTTTAGCAACTGTAAGTGGCAAACCATTTAAACACTCCATTACATTAATAAGACCATCACAATATTGTTGATCGAGACAATCTATACGACGTTGAATTGGTAAAATTTTAGCTTGTTTTGGCTGTGAACCTTAGCCTGCAGAGAACGGAATATTCATATGTTAAAAAGGACTCTCTTCACTTTGAAGATATTTTATAAAAGACCAGATATTTGGTCACCGTGAAAGAATTTGAATCGTTGCATACTATTAGAAGCTTTATTTAGTAGAGACGTCTCCTTTTTCTATCTTTTCTGTTTTCGGCATTTTTCCTTTTCGATATTTTTCCTTTCGGCTTTTCTACGGCTAACCGAAATACTCTTTGAATAAATTTATTTGAAGCCCTACAGCTTTTCTCATTTCTGGTGTAAAATTTTTTAAAATGCATAGAAATATAGTTTACCAATCGTACTGAATACCGATATAATATTTATGTTCTTTAATTCCCTCTGCTTACGTGAATAACTTTAAAAAGATGTCGCAAAATAATTTTCTTGCTTAACTGAAATATAATTAATTAGTTGCATTATCAAATGAATATCGATTGTAGGTTTACGGTTAAGATGGTCATATCAGTTATATATGGACTTCCGCTTTTACTATGATAGAGTGCACAGATTTATATTAACTATCATATATGGTTTCCTGGAAACTGTTTTCTACAGAATGCATGCTGATTGGATGAGAGCGATGGACCATACAGAGAACTTGAAACACTCTATCAGAGGAGCTTATACATTATTTTGTAAAGATTCTTTTCCTTCGTATAACATATAGGATTTGATTCACTGTTTTAAGCAACTTCTCATTATACTATTCAAAAACGGGATTAGTCTATGTCGCACTAATTTTGACACACTAGTCTCCCAAAAAAAGTGAAATCTTGAAAATATCTATTCTTAATCTAACTAACGTGTAATACTCTATCTAATTAAGTATCCAGAAATGTCAAAGCAAAATTAATCGATTGTTTACATTATTTTGAAATAATATGAATCGCTTGGACATTTAAAGGAAGTCCTAAAAAGTGATGACTGAACGATCTTCATATTTCTTGATAAAAATAGCTTAGAATCTCTTTTAGGTATTTTTAATGTACGTAAAATAACAATTGGTTATTTCATCGGCTGACACATAACACACATCAATGATATATTGATTATCTCACTAAGAGCCAAGACTTCGACTATTGAGCATCTGCTTTTTTTCAGCATTGTCTAAGTGATAACTTAGAAGTAAATAAGTCGAAAATCTAGATTTTCTATGTCCTATCGGTGTTAGAGATATATTTACCAATACCATATATCCCTGTAGAGAACATAGTTGGAAGATGATTGTAGAATGTACGTATATCAATAGGCTTCGTTATCACATGTGAAGTCATTCCGGATTGTAGTTTTGAATACTAAATACAAGGATAGCGAAGATATGCGTCTCAAAATATACAGAATGAAACGATTCCCTTGCCAATAGTAGCATTGTATTTTATATTTCAGTCTTACAAGTGTGACACGAACTCCTTTTCATATTATTCGCTGTTCTGTGATTAGTTTTTCATATGTTCGATGAAAAGGGTTTCTCGTATATGCCATACAGTTATGCCAGTTCAGATAGCACATTAAAACGAACGTGATGAAAGAAACTTACAATTTATTAACCTGAAACTCTATTAATTAAATTATCAATATTAAAAAATATTCTATAGATTTCATACGAATCACTTTCATGATATTTAGCCAATAGCATGTTAAACTAATGCAATAAAAAAAAGTATTTACTAT